ATGTCGTTTAGGAGGTGAGTGATGCGGGCGGAGAAAGTGGGGGTGAGGAGAGGGGTGGAGAGGTAAATTTGGGTGTCGTCAGCATAGAGGTGATAATTGAAGCCATGGGAGTGTATGAGTGTGCCCAATAGGAATAATAAAAATAATAAATTCCTATTGGTTGCTAGGGATTGCTTTCCTGCAAGTGCCATTCAATAATGACAGAGATTCCTCTAATACTGCTACCCCACATTTATGTAACAGGTAGAGGATCCAAGGCACTAAATAGAAAATAAAATGTGTGAAGGTAGGATAGTGTTGGAAGAATAGAATCACAGCATCACAGCATAGGTCTTTGATGTCACTCCAGGTCAGGTCCTTGTTTATGACTTCCACAACTCTAATTTCTCCTCCACAACAATTTAATGTCATAATTTGTACTGGAGAAAAAAAAAAATGTGAAAACTGAAATGACAAGAATGTAAAATCCTAAACTTTCCACTGTGGTTTTAACATGGAAAATTGTGCTAGCAGTGTTCACATTCACAGCTAAGTGTGGATGGCAAAGAGCTTCTTTGTTTGTCGACAGTTTATCTACCAGTTATGTGAGCTATCTGGTAAATGTTGTAAAAGCTAGAGTCCTGTTACAGAACAGAGCTTATTAATCGACTCTCAAAATCAGCCTTCATATCGAAATGCGTTGAGTGTTTTGAGGTGAGCAACTGAGTCAAACAATAGCAATTGTCTTGTATGCACTGTTAAAGCAATAAAATGTGGATTCCTTATGTAGGTCCAAATGTAACAGCTGGATTTAGCTTTATGAAGCATGGAAAATAGTTCCCATCTGGAAGTTGATGTTGAATAAAGTTGCAACAGTAAGACAGCATCTTATATGAAGCATTTATTCATTTCCAGCACAATCCCAGACTGTGACTTGTATTTTACTGGTGTTTCCTTAGGGAATTGCAGTGAAATCTGAAGCATATCCCATCTCTCTGTAGTGTTCAGGCATTGTGTGAAAAATATTCATGAAAATCGCAAATGAAATAAACTATTTTTTTTTTATTTTATGTAACTAGCAATATTTTAAGTATGCTTTTGTTGTGAACATATGAGGAAATATAAAATCTGGGGGATGTTTTCGTTTTTACAATATGCATACACATTTACTGAAAGCACTCCAAACTTTACCCTGCTTGCATTGATTTCATCTTATGAAAATGAGACTGAAACTTTTATTGCTGAAAGTGTTTGCAGGAATAGTCTAGTTTTTCCTTTTGCACAAACATCTGCATATGCCAAAAGGATAGCATTTTACAAATAATCAGCAAAAAGTCCAGTTCTAGTAATACAATATAATGTGATGGTTAGATATACAATAAATAGCAAACAAAGATAGTGCAGAATATACAAAATAACAAAAATATTAAAGCTGATTTACTAAAGGTGTAAACAATGTTCACTTGGTTTAGTGAATAAGATACTGCATTCACTCCAATCATCCAATCATGTGCAAGCAAAAGTATGCTTTTTAAAACTTTCCCTTAAGCATTATTGTATATTTGAAGTGAACATAACTGTACTTTATTCACTAAGTTAAGTGAAAAATCATTTTACAAAGTAAAGATTGTTTACTTTTATTGATACCAGTAATTCACTGACATTTGTTACGTCTCATAAAATGAGCTCAAAAATCTTTTATGAAAACAAATGTGAATGTGCCCACTTACCTCTTAGCAGCAGTAGGATGCTAAAAAAAAAACCTTTACCCTCACTCCTAACAATTTTGATTGTCATCCACCCCATCTGTAAGATGATGGGAAATCAGCCCAGTGCAGGGAATGCTGGCTGCCCAGAAGTGGCCATCCAATGGATAGAGATACGTTATGTGGGATTTGCCAAGTGCCAGGAATGCTGGCTGCCCAGAATTGGCCACCCAATGGATAGAGATAAGTTATGTTGGATCTGCCAAATGCTAGGAATGCTGGCCACCCAAAAATGGCCACCCAATGGATGGAGATAAGTTATGTGGGATTTTCCAAGTGCTAGGAATGCTGGCTGCCCAGAAGTGACCACCCAATAGATGGGGAAAAGTTATGTGGGATCTGCCAAGTGCTGGGAATGCTGGCTACCCAAAGGTCAACACTCGATGGATGGAGATATGTTATGTGTGATATGAAAGACTATTGGAGTAGATACATGGTGGACAGATTGAGGGACTGAGGGGGGTAACTTTAAACTGTCATTGCTTGAGGAACAGGCGAGTATAGATCTGATTTAAAGCATGTATCAACAAAAACGTATATATTTCAGCTTACCAGTGCTTAGATGTGGTGGGTGCTTTTTTCAGGCTTTATTTTTTCTTTATTTTCAACTAGTAATCCATATGTTACACATTTTTTGTTCTATGGTAACAATGCTCACTCACTGTAATGTATCTATAGAGAAGCAGCACTGTCAACTTAGAACACAAAGGGGTTGATTTACTAAAAAAGGAGAGTGCAAAATTTGGTTCAGCTCTGCATAGAAACCAATTAGCTTCCAGGTTTTATTTTTATAAATGTAACTGAACAATTGAAGTTAGAAGCTGATTGGCTACCATGCACAAATGCACCAGATTCTGAGTGCTCCGGTTTTAGCCAATCTTCCTCAAAATGTGCTAGGCCTACAGAACACTGCCCCTCTCCTTTACTCCCTAACATATATGTGAGCTGTTCTATAGTCAACAGAGAGAACTGGAAATATTATAACTGATAACAGTCAGCAGAGGAAGAGAGCACAAGAATTTATCAGCTCACAAACTTTCTGGTAGGATCAACAGAAATGGAGAGGAGTGCATTCATGATTTGAGTTGAGGAGATTATCATGGCACAGCACTGTGGACTCATTTTTGTTTTTTGGAGGATATTTTTTTTTTTCTAGCTATTCAAACTTTTTCATGTTAAGTGTGTGTCTATGTATCAGATTTTATTTTGGTGACTTATATTTTTATTTCTTTAGCTGAGGGTGTGAGGTTTTTGTGTGGGAAGATTTGTTAAACTGTGGTATAGTAACAGAGACTTAAAGTGATATTAAATGCAATTCTTTTTTAAAAACAGACATGTTATACTTACTTGCTCTGTGCAGTGGTTTTGCACATAGCAGCCCCGATCCTTCTCTTCTCAGGTCCCCCGCCGGCACTTCAGGACTTCTGCAGCTTGCTATGGGTGCACCCAAGCATGCTTACTCCCAAGCTGCTGCTCTGCATTTCCATTCACACACGGAGCCATGACTCAGCCCTGCTCCCTCTCTCTCCTAATTGGCTCACTGTCTCAACCAATGAGGAGGGAGAGTCCCGGAGAGCAGAGGCTCTTGTGCACATCATTGGATCACGATGGGGCGCAAGTAAGTATTGGGGAGCCGGGGGGAGGGGGGTGTGTTTGCTGAACACAGAAGGTTTGTTGTACCTTCATGCATAAAATACATGAAGTTAAGACACCTTGAGCCTTTACAACCACTTTAAAATGCATGAAGAGGTAAAAACATGATATGGCACTGGCCAAAGTCTTGCACAAGACATATCGGGATACAAGGTGTGTACTAGGTGAAAGAAAGTAGTTAGAAATACATTTAGAAAAGTATACATTAACTCACATGACATTCACACATTTCCAATCAGAAATTCCCATGAATTGTTGGAGGTTTCAGATTATACAGTAATCACATTTATTATTTAGAGGTGTGCAGCCTACTGGTTTTTTTTTTTTTTTTGCTCCAGCCATTTCAGGCTGGGTAAAGGCTGGTTGTGTTATCTTATTGAAAAGGAGGTCAGCAGTGGATGCCCCCATATGATCATACAATCATTTTATACCCCTTTTAAAAAAAAAAAAAACCAAAAAACCTTTTAATCGAGGATTACAGGTAGTTTCCAGAGGTGATGAAATGGCAGTGGAGACACTGTTAAATTTTACCATAACTGCTATTGTTGTGGGTTATAAAACTTGGCATAAAGGTTGATCTCACCACTTTTTGACAATGGAACAGCAACACACTTCATGAATAGGAATGTTTGGCTCAATATTCCTCTTTAATACAAAGGAGAGTTGAGTAGGAAAAGAAAATCAGTGCTGCATATCATGAGGGGAACAGTAGCAATCAGGCAAATTTCCTACCACGATGAACTGTTATCCATGAATGTGATTAGATCATCACTCAATCTAGCTGAACACTTAAGCGTTCAGAAAAATATGGTACGCACATGTGCAGGTAAACACCAATGCATAGATGCGCTGGTGTTTACTAGAGTACGACCTTGTACATCTACAGTGATTCACTTGTAAAGCAGGCTGTACACAGCACCTGCTGAGCCCTGGCTATGGAATACGCCCAGAGTTTTACATCAAGCATATTCTCAGCCTCTCACTAGCTGCGTGCAAGAGGCCTGGTGTGGCAATGTTTGTTTTTCTGTGTCCCTCCATAATGTAGATTTCTATACTTTTTTTGATCCTGCCAGTAGATCAATGTTTTGTCCAGCAAAAGGATCAAGTATAACAGGAAGTCCCTGTCTCAGCTGCTAAATGGTTAGAGCAGTTGCCAATCAACCAGCAATGGCACTGACTGCAGTGGATTGGATGAAAACACATGGAAAGTGCCATCCTTCAATTGGTAACACTATTAAAAAACGCTTCAGAGAAAGAGAGCAGAAACTGGCACGATCAATGAGTCCTTAAAGTGTTACTACACCCACAACAGTATAATCAGTCTGTATATGCAGTAAAGCATGCTTGTTATACTCACTGTGAAACCTAATGGGTTAATCCTCACTATGGAAAAACGCTGTTTGATCTGGACTTCTCTGATCCTCCCCCTCTTTCAGTTCCCCCTGTTAACTCCTGATAAGACATATTATGTGGAGTCACTGTGCACATGCTCAGTTTGGTGTGTATTGCTATAGAGGTGTTTTTTTTCTTGGGAGAGTGCATGTGACCAGCACAGCGCCAATGAGCGCTGTCCAGGTGGATGGTAAGTGGTTATACATCCTCCTAGAGCAAAATGAAAACTCCTCCTACAAGCTTTAACCAGTGCTCAGCTGGACACTAATAGAAGTCACAAGACTGCTCTAACTGCTGATGAGAAAAGGTATTTAGCAGTTTATAGTTTCTAAAATAATTAAATTTCCATGTTCTGTGTACTGTGGGGGACCAGATATAGTGAATGCAGGGTCCTGGGTTTAGTAACACTTTAATATATATTTACTCAATGCAAAATGAAAGCAATTTACATAACTTTAGTATTAAGGTTTGTAAACACATTAAGGTATGGCAAGATAGGTTGGGTATTCTAGGTGTGGTAAGGAAAATAAAAAATGTTTGGAAAAAGAGATGTTAAACTGTGATCTCTACCATGAAATGTATATTTATATAAATTTGTATATACATTTTTGTATATCTAGTATCAATATCTGCACTTCCGGGGCAATGTCATCTGGAGGCCAGGGTAAAAATGGCAAACTGTGATCCCCCCACCGCTATTTCCTACAAACGAGTCAGTGTCATTTCAATACAAGAAAATATTTAAAACATTAAAAACTAAATTAGGTTTTATTAATTTGAAACAGAATTTACTCACACAGTTTAACTATGTATCATGCAATAATATATGTATACTATATATATATGTACTATATGCAACAATATTCCCCAGCATTGATGCCAATTTACACAAACATAAACCCTAGCATTGATGTGAGTGGCAGCAATAATAACCCCTCACATCGTTGCCAGCAATAAAACCCCCACATACATGGTAGTTTAAGCAATAATAACCCACAACATTTGTGGCAGTTTCTGCAATAATAACCCCCAGCATTGGTGCCTATTTCTGCAAAAATAACCATCAGCATAAATGTCAGCTTCCATAATAATTACCCACATCATTAGTGGCAGTTTACACCTTTAAACCCCCCCAGCATTGTATCATTGGCAGCAATAATAAGCATCAGTGCCAGTTTCTGCAATTATATACCCCAGCATCGGTGTCAATTTATGTAGTAATAACCCCCAGCATAAATGCCAGTTTGCACAAAAATATCCCACAGTATTGGCGTCAATAGCAGCAATAATAATGCCCAGCATTGATGCTTGTTTGAACAAAAATAAGCCCCAGTATGAATGGCAGTTTCCATAATAATAACCCCCAACATCAGTGACAGTTTCTGCAATAATAACCCCCAGCATTTGTGCCAGTTTTTTGCAATTATAGCCAGCATTTGTGCCGGTTTCTGAAATAATAATCCCCAGTATTTACCCCCAGCACTAATGTCTTTAGTAGCAGTAAAAAAACTTCCAGCATTGGTGCAAGTTCCTGCAACAATAATTCCAGGATTGGTCCCAGCTTACATAATTACCCTCAGCATTTACGGCAGTTTCTGCAATAATAATCCCCAGCATTGGTGTCAATAGCAGCAATAATAACCCCCAGCAGAGGTGGTCAGTGGTGTTGTGCTATTTAAACCCCTCTTAAGGTAAAATTCCAGCTCAAACCTGACTAGCCTTAAAAATGTCCCCTACCCTTCTAAGACATATGCTGACTAACCTGTGTAAAAAAAGATGTTTTTACGTACTTACTTATTTTCAGGTCGCTCTGCTCTGGTCAGGTCACATGGTCCCCTGTGTTAGCCGGCGCTGGTTGCAGGGGAGAAGAAAGAGTGCTAACAATGGCTGGTAAAGTGATGACTTCAACCACAGGTTCCAATGTTCCAGCTATTGTTGGTGCTCCCTCATCCCCCCTGCATAGGCAGCTGGTTCACACAGGAAAGATCGTGTGACCGGAGTGGGCTGAAGATTGGTCAGCCAATACAGCTGTTAGGAGGTGGGTGGGGGGCATTTTTAAAGCTGGTTAGGTTTAGGCTCCTTTCACATGGGGCAGACTCTGTCCCGAACAGCAGGGGATCAGCTCACAGATCCCCTGCTAATCAGAGTAAAGCAAGCAGGTGACAGGTTTGTGTCCTCTCAGTTTATGCAGAGCAGACACGGACAGAGCTTTATGGGTGGCTGTTAGTAAATGGACTCCTCTGTCCATTTACAAATGATTACTCTCTGATCCAATCCACCCATATGGAAGGGGATGGATCCTCTTTCATTTTTTTTTAATGGACCAGATCAAACCCTGAGGTAGGTGGGTGTAAATGAACACAAGTCAGTTTTCACCTGCCTGTCTATTGGGATGAATGGACCATCCAATCAGATCTGTTTGAAAAACTGACAGGCGGTCCTGATTGGATCTTCTGTCTGAAAAAGGCCTTAATCAGGAATTCTACTAATTCTATAATCTTTCTGTGGTAGTGCTGTTTCCAAACATCCCTGCCCATTGTTGGGCAGTGGTAGTGCCAATTAACCCCTTTGTTCTGCATTAGTGGCCACTTGCAGTGTTTGTTAACCCTTTCATGCTGCAGCATAAAGGGGTGAACTACCACTGCCACTAGTGCCATTAATGCAGCACAAAGGGTTATTAACTGCCACTGGTCACTAATGCATTACCCCCTTCATGTTGCCCCCCCCCCCCCAAAGACTTAACCAATCAAGCCAGTCCACTGGAAAAGCCTTATTACTAACAGCTAACACAACATTACACTGTCAATGTCTCAAAAAGTAATTAGGCAGGAGGATCTGCCAGCCCAGATCAAAAAAAACCCAAAAATTAAAAACTACACTTGCACCTCAAATTAGACAACACAAATACTAGGCAATATTAAAAAATGGTAATAATACAAGGCAAATGAGAAGCTAAATAATATTCTAAAAAATATTTAACTTACAATAATATTAACAATAAAATACTTCTCAGAAATATTGCAATCCTTTCCTTCTCATAAGCTCACTAAAATGACAGCCCAAATGCAGTTCTGCTGCCATTCTATTGGTTCTTCAAACCAATGAGCAGCCTTGGTCTCTAACAGAAAGTTGTGGGAGGTGGGAAAGGGCAATCCATAACTTTTACTGACAGTTGCAGTTCATTCTTTGGAGTGCCCCCGATTTTTGGGTCCCAGGTAGGGATGAGCAAACCTAGCGCTGAACCTCATTGATGTCTATGGGAGCCAAATCTTGTTATTTGGCAAGAATTTGTAAAAAAAAGTAATGGGTAACTCTCATGAGTACTCTCAAGGGGAGTATGTACCCATGCAAAAACACAAGGGTCTTTTAATGGGGCTTAAATGGAAACATAGAAAATACACAAATTCTTAAAAATAACATTAAGGATGCCTTAAAGTTTCATGTGAAGTTGCAGATGCAGTAAGATAAGCTCCTTTAAAAGTGATATTTTATATTTACAAACAGTGATTGTGGATCTGTAATCTAGCGGAGGTGGTAGTATGGCTGCTGAATGACAGATTCCCATCAATGTTTGTCAACGAACTAGGGAATCTGTCATTTAGTATCAGTATACTTGGTCAATGATGACACCTACGATCCCTACCTCTGTGCAGGGGCGGACTGACCATTTGGAAACTCGGGCACTGCCCGAGGGCCCGGGGTCAGTAGGGGGCCCCTTTTTCATAGGCTTTTTTGAGTTTGGGCAAGGACACAGGGGCCCCATGATCCTCTATTGCCCGAGGGCCCCATGAGTTGTCAGTCCGTCCCTGCCTCTGTGTTTACATTCTTGCAGTGGTGGCGAATTATTTGTGATGGGAGGCCTTTATAACTATCAACGTGGGGGGAAAGGTACTTTGTTGGGGGAGGGGGGCTTTGCGTCTCCTTGCAAGGAACCCTCCCAATATTGAGATGTGGCCTGGTATAGTGCAGGAGGTGTGCAGCCCCCCAGTATTCCCCTATTCTTCCTGGCCAGCTAGTCTGCATGTCTGGATAAATAACTATCACTGGGGCCCCACATATTTTTTTTTTAATGGTGTACCTAAATATTTATAGAGTATTCCTATTTGGGCATGCAGCCTGGCCTGAACCATACCACGCCCCATGCCCTTATCATTGTTTAGGGACCAGGGGCGGACTGAAAACTCATGGGGCCCCCGGGCAATAGGAAATTATGGGGCCCCTCTATCCTCGCCAACACTCAAACCACACCCAAAAAAGCCTGTGAAAGGTATCAAGGGCATCTCATGGGGCCCCCTACTGACCCTGGGCCCTCGGGCAATGCCCGAATGCTCGAATGGCCAGTTCGCCCCTGTTAGGGACCCTCCAAATTTACGCTGTTCAAATGTATGGGATACATGGTGCCCCTTGTTACTAATTCACAAACAAAAAAAAGTAAATAGCAAATAGAAACACCCACACCCACTTATATATCCCTTATTAGGAAAAAAAACAAACAATACCCCCCTCCCCATCAATGTAAATCTAACATAATTTACATAGTCCAGCGATGTAGATCCACTTCAATCAGGATGAATGAGGCCGTCGACTCAGTGTCACAATAATGCTGTCTTGCTGCTACTCCCATGGCAGATGACAGCTCCCCTGTGGTACTGGAATGTAAACACAGTGTTGGGGATCCTAAGTGCTTTCATGGAACAAGTATGGTAAGTTTGTTAGCTCATTTGCTGAACTTCAAACTGGGCCTGGGTCTAATTCATGTTCAATGGGAATTCAAACTTTATCCCTAGTCTCAGGGCACACCTGGACACCAAAAAGGAACCTGAAGAAAACTGCTTTGCATTTTATTACATTCTCTGGGTTTATGGCAGGAAAGGGTTGTGTTAACCTAAAATTAATAAACATTGGTAAAGAAGGACAACATAGGGTTTGCAAAGACAATTTCAGCTCTCTGATAAATTTAGTGCTGCTTTCAAGTATGATAATAATAACATAGGAGTATGACTTATTGTGAAAAAAGTGTTTGGGAACTAATTTCAAATTAATATACAGTGCATAATCAGTCTGTGTTATATCTAATACAATCCTAGAGAAATAAATGGAAATACAACACCATAGGTGGTCTCCATGTCTCTTTGCCTCAGGCTATTTCTCACATCCATGCTTGCCGTGAAGCTTTACGTCATGGCAGATAACTGCCAGTACTAGCCTTGTTTCAATTTAAACCTTAGGGGATGGAAGTCCACAATCCAAACACAGGTCACTTGTTCCCCATCACTCACTTGCTTATACACAGAACTAGAATAATAGATAGGCATGTTCAGTGAGGACGTCTTTTCTGAGCTATTGAAACATAGACATCCTCTAAACCAAACCAACCTAAAGACAGTTAATT